GGTAAAAGGAGATGGGGAGATACCTCTTGGTTGACGTTACTAGGGTTTTTGGAAGATCATCGCCGGACTCCATGGCTGAGCTGAGGCTGCAAAAGGCGGAGGAAATAGATAATTTATGATAAATTGATTGACTGAATTGAAATTAATATATTTATTGATGCTTTTAAAAGTAAGTTATAACTTATAATTAAAAGTATCAACAAATACAATATAAAATATCATTCCACATAATTGAAAATAAAAATAATAATTAAAAAGGGTATTGCACACGTTTATAGATAGCGTTATGAAAGTTCTTACTTGATTATTATTTTAACTACATCTTGTATGTGATATAGATAAATGTGAAATATTTGATACATATTTTAAGCCTACACCTGCTTACAAAATAACATTTGAGTGTGTTCGGCAAGTGTAGAAGCTAATTATTTAAATAACTTATAAACTTCATCCTAAAGCAAGCAATTTCATAATATTATCTATTTTTTTTAGTTGTTGGCCAGTAGCTATAACCTATTACCTCCAAATTAACTTACAAACAACGGATTTATTTATTACTTAACAAATGGATTATCAACTAAAACATACCCACTTATATAACTAAAGTTTCAACTACATGTACTTATATCAACTAACTTTTTAATTAGGCTTGGAGGCTTGATGATGCAGAATAAATATAATAATAATTAATATTATTATTATTTAATAGATTGGTGAACAAGTTAGGTTTACGGCTTTAGGAGTCTTATTTAAAGAGTCCTTCTTCTTCGTTATTTGCAGTGAATTTGATAATAAGAATTTATTGACTCTTGTGAGTTTTATCGAGAGAATCTCGTTTATCTTTTAGGAGTCTTATTTAAAGAGTCATTCTTCTTTGTTATTTGCAGTGAATTTGATAATAAGAATTTATTGACTCTTATGAGTTTTATCGAGAGAATCTCGTTTATCTTTCCCACTCATACGCTTGCCTACATCACTTGAACATTTATGCTTTCATCATTTACTTTGCCCAGAGCATATCTGAACATTTTTGACATTTATGCTTTCATCATTTACTTGCAAAGAGCTTATCTGCATATTTTTATTATTTTCTCTGTATATATTGCCACAGTACATCTACAACATATACCAATCCTTAAAGAGATCCCATAATTTGTTGAACACACACACAACCAAACATCTTTAAAACTACTTTTGTCTTTTCATTCATTATACATGCAAATCAATCATCCAACTCTGTCTCAACTACATCACAAAAACCTGAAGCTTAGTTAACAAAATGATCTTTTCCACAGGTCCCATGTGTGGAAAATTTTCGAGAAAAAACTCCCAAAGATGATACAAAAATGTGAAAAAAGCCTCGGTAAGTTTCCAAACGAATGGACTACTGCTTCTTTGGAAGCTTTAAAAGTACACTAAAAATGAAAGACAAGCTTAGCCCCCACGAGCTTCTCTTCTAGTTGCATCGTGAAGCAGCTCGACATCAACTCCCTCTGGCGGCAGTTGGACATACCTCACAACCGATCCTCTTATGAAGCAGTTACGAACTGAAAGCTGTCATATCATAAAATAATACCAGTTAAATTAAATTGAGGTGTGGTAAAGAACAAAAGCATCTGGTATGATATATATATATAAAATGTTTAGAATAGAGCTGAACCAAATAACATAGTATTACAACACGAATGTTGCTTTCTGTGGGAAAAGGTTTATCAATGCAAGAAATATAGACACACGAGTTTATTTCAAAGTCCAGATTAGTATACCTAATGAAATAATCCAAACAGAATGTTTCAAAAGCTCAAAAAAGAAAATGTGGGACAATCACTTTGCTATACTATGCCTACACGTGACGGGTGCCTTCATAAACATTTGACCTCCTTCAATCTAATAAATAAATTAATTAACCAACAACATAGTGTAAGAAAAATGTAAATATTCCTAAGCCGTAGTGTTTCAATTAAATAAAAAAACTAGCTCCACATCTAGATAATGTTCTTAACGACGATTCGATGGATAACCAATAGCAATCTAGGTATAACTTCAGGAAACTAATAACTCAATCAACACAACTCACGAACATGCATACCATCAGTGCATAATCCAAAAAAACTCGAGCTTAACATGGATGGCTCTGGAAAATAAGGAAATGAATACAGCAGTTAAGCTGGTAACTTAGAAACAGAACCAATAATTTGAGTATACAAACTAACACCCCAATGTTCTTCCCATCATAGAAACCGAACTCTCATCTCCCATTAATCGTGCACAAAGCAATATGTACATAACCAAAATAATCAATACACCTTGTGTTCTAGTGTTAGCCTCAGAACATACTAAACTCTAGAAATATTAACCCTAAAACCCTAATTAAACCTCAGATACACTTGCATCAGATTCTTCCAGAAATCGCACCTCAACAGCAATCACATCACACATAACCATACTGTTCTAGAGTAAGCCTACGAATGTACTAACTATCAACCCTAAAACCCTAATTAAACCCCAGAAACATCCTCGCATCAAATTCTACCAGAAAACACACCTCTACAGCAACCTCACATAACCGTGAACCAAGATATACAATCGCTTTCGAAAAACCAAAACGCTAATCTTTACAATACAGATGAAATAGAAAAGAACAATAATTAAAAAAATACCATGTGGGGGTACTTGTCTTGATCAACAACCCTCGTATTCTCCAACTTAATGTTGAGATACTGATCCACCGAATGAAGGGTTCCCCTTATCGCCAAATCGTTCTTCAATTCCACCGTAACTTCTCTCCCCACCAAATCCTTGAAGTACGAGAAGAACAACTGCGAAAACGAAGCAAGACAAAACGCGAGATTAAACCCTAGATTATTGATAAAATCAAACAACGGAGAGATATGAACAAAATAACCTAAATTTACCATTTTTATCCGCGGGGATATGAATTTCTCAGGTGGGCAAATGGCAATGGTTTTTTATGTTTTCAATCCAAAAGCTGAGCTCGATAAACTGTGGGAGCTAAGCGGGTGGGTGTTGCACTCTTGCAGAGCGCGTATAAATATGAGTACAATTTGCAGAAAGGTCCCTGAAGTTTGCACTGAACACGGAAAGGTCCCCACCTAAATAGGCAATATTTATTTACAAATAAATGTTACAAAAAAAATAATAATAATGAAGATCATTATTTACCTATTTTGTAAGGGTCAATATATTTCACGTGGGATGCTAATTATTAATACATTTAAAGGAAAAGGATAACAAAATTTCCATCAAATACTACTATCAAACACCATATCTCAGATGGTTGTAGTGTGTCTTCGTTTTTCACTATCATATTTTCAAGTTATCTATTTTATTAGATCACAAATATGAAGCTAAATATAAATTTAACCAAATATATTATTACCTACTTTCACTATCATATTATCAAGTTATCTATTTTATTCGAACACAAAATATGAAGCTAAATCTAAATTTAACTGAATATATCATGTCATTCGTCTATGTAATAATATTATTCAATGGTGTCATATTAAATTATGTATCATGTCAATCATTGTCATCCCTAAATTCATTTTTTGATCAAGCTTGATGGACAAATGGATAAAAAATAACACATATATTATTTAGATCTACCGAGTTTTTGTAGGCTCGATTAAATTAAAAAAAACAAACACTTCTATCATAATAAATTAATATTCAAGAGCAAACCATTTTCGGAAGTCCAAAGTGATGTTCAGCAGCAGCTCAATTACAGACAAATGTCTCATATTTACATTCCCATAACCATGAGTAAGTCAACAAAAATACACACAAACATTCAATTTTCCAGCAGAGTACATAGAAAAATCTAAAGTTTTCAACATATTACAACATATGCCTGATGCCATGAATAAAATTTGCCCATTTTGAGATCACAAGAATAACAACAATACAAAGCATTCATTTATTTACAAACTGGGAAAATTTTTTCTTCCCAAATGTCGATAGGCTATATATATTCTCTTTCCTGGCTAGGGACAATTTACCAGCCAACAGCAAACATCTACAGTCTTTGCTTCACGCGTCTACCGTTGGCATCACTTCCGTCCATTACACAGTCAATTCCTTGCTTCTCGATAATCGAGTGCTCATGGATCCTCGCAACATACTCCAATAACTCGGTCAGCAAGTTCGGGCAGCTTTCTTTAAGGTACTCGAAACCATCCGTTTGCATAACAGCTGTCCAAAATATATTTCGTTTGATTCAGTGTTAATTATACAAATACGCAGTAAATGTAAGAAAATAAACTCTTGAGAGGTAGTTTTTGTGATTTTGAAAGTTGGATGAGTTTTTTTCTGATAATGATCTAACCTCAGGTATAACTTTGGCATTTAACTCTAGAAAAAATGCCTCTCCAACCAAACCATTAAAAAAAACACAAAGCTAAAAGCAAAACTCAAAAATTTACTACCTCTGAGATTTTCGGGAAGTGCAACAAATTTGAGACAGACGGATTTCAGCTGAAAACAGTGGTGTTGTTCTGCCAGTGCTAGTGTTGTTGCAACAGTATTAATGGCAACTTGCTCACAGAGGTTAGCCTCACACAGCAATCTGAGCCTATCTAAACCATATCGATCGGCTGCAGCAAGTAGATGCTGTGACATTAGAGTTGAGGCCCACTTTGAGTTCATTCCAGTAAGTTCCTCAAAGTCGGGAAGTGTATCCCAGTAGATAAAATGAAGTAATGCCTGCAATAGTGCAAAGTTCCAACCAGCAGAAAACAAAAAATGTTGTAAAAGCTAAAGAGAAAATACAACTACTCAACTAATTCATGAATGTATGTAAAAAAAATTGCTAAATACAATTCTAATTTCCAATTTGAGCAAATTGCCACAAACAATTGACAAGTGAATGTGCCTTATGGATAACACATCAATGCAGCAATCCAAATAATGGAAAAGGTGAACCATATCCAACCAGCCACATATACACACTCATGATTAAGTTTCTCATAACCGAAACTACAAGCATCACTAAAAGAACAAATGGACCAATTAATGCATAATTAAATCTGTTCCAATTTCTAGAATAGACCTCATCAACACATAGCACCTATATATTAGCCTTGTTCATTAATTTATAGAAGATACCATAATGCTAGTTCGCTATGTTTAGCTGAAGCAAATTGCATAAACAGTTGGAAAGAGAAAAGGTTGCAACAATCATCTACAACTCTACATGAAGAAAGTGAGCACTGGAAATTCGTGATGATGAAAATTTACAGTATTAAATTCCGAATTTATCGTAATCTACAATAAATTTATTCAACGCATCATAAAGTGTCACAGGGTATGAGGGAAAGTAGATATATATAGTCTAGAGTAACAGATTAAAATTACTTGCATATGAACTTAAGGAATTAATACATATATATAAACACACAATGCGACAACCATGCACTATCCTATTATGCTTTATGGCATGTATGAAATCCTACTAGGAATAAATTTTTAGTACTTTTACAGTAAGCCTTTGAAAATATAGATCTAGTTAGAGATGTTAAATGGTCCTTGGCCCGACGGGCCGGTCCGTTTAGCCCGAAAAAAAAGAGGGTTAGGTCCTTTTATTAGTAGCCCGTTTAAATCAGGGCTTTTTAGGCCAGGACCGTTTAGCCCGAAGCCCGCTAGGGTTAGCCCGGAACCCGCTAGGGCTGGCCCGTTTAACTAGGGTTAGGCGGTGTAAATGTTTGCATCAAGTAAGTAATATGCTCTTAGATTCCATGTATATTACAATTTTGATATTCCACTTTACAAGTTGTAATGGATTATTATGATTTTGAAAGATAATTATTAACAATATTGTTATTGTACTTCATACCAAAATATTTAAGCCAATCAGAACGATAATACTAAATAGCCGTTGAAAACAATTTTTAACTAGCCGTTGTTATTTTTTTTATATTTTTTACTCTTTTTATTTTTATTTTTTTATATATTATTATTATTATTATTATTAGTATAGCCATAGCCCGCATAGCCCGTTTAGCCCGAAGCCCGCTAGAGTTAGGGTTAGGTCCTTTTTTTGGTAACCCGTTTAAATCCGGGCTTTTTAGGCCCAAACCGTTTAACCCAAAGCCCGCTAGGGCTAACCCGAAACCGTTAGGGCTAGCCCGTTTAACATCTCTAGAACTAGTGTTAGTTATGCTACGCTGATACTTCATTTGAGATGATAAAATTCTTGTTCACCCATGTCTTGAAATGTGAACCGGAGAAAGTGCCAGGGTCAGAGAGTGAACACTTCTAACAATTATTGCAATGTTAGTTGCCATATAGAAAAAATGACGGAACTCCAAAAGCCAATCAAAACCACAGTAGAAAAACAATAATAGGTTCCTACAGTGGTTTTCAGAGGAATTCACAAAATACCTTAAAAACAGGTGGCTCCACATCATCAATCTTTATATGCTGTGTATTGTGATCCTTCATTGGACCATATAGTTGAGCTCTGAATACTGGTGAACGAGCAGCAAGAACCAACTTGTGAGCAGAAATTGTTTCTCCGTCAACTTCAAAATTTACATCAGTGCCTTTTCCACTTTCCAGCAACTGCCCAAAATGCTGACCAATATCTGAAGGAGGCACTGTTATCGAGTAGATCTTAGGTCCCTCTGTGTGAGATCTAACTACACCAACACAGCAACGAACATGAAGGCAATCATCTTTCAGGTAATCAGATGTTTCCAGGGAAGATCTTTTGTAAAAACGTTTGTAACCCCTGCAACCAATTTATACAATATTTTATCTCCCTTCGGACCTTTGGCAAACTGCATTTTTTCTCCTTTCCATAAATCATCTGGCAACAATTTTTTTCACATTTTTCGAATATACTCTACATATAGAATTTTCAAAAAGCTTTTTACATAAATAGACTCCCCATCTTCCATTCAAGTAACTCAAACAATAATCACTCGGCCAATCACCAAAGTCAACGTTACAGCTTATGCTTCTACGATATTATGCTGCGAATAGAGATCAATCAACACTAACTTCAAGCCAATGATATCCCTATGATGTACCAACTAAAAATCCAATTCAGCAACAATTTTATCAAACTCAAATCAGAATCAGTAAGCATAGCCACCAGCAATTTTATTTTATTTTTTCTTGTGCATTCATATGTCCTTAACCGAGTGAATGCAAGTTTTCAAGCCAGAAAAATTACTAAATGAACATAAATTTTCTTATAATGCAACCTAACAAACAATTACTTCAAATATGAGGCATGCTGCTGACTAAAAATCGTAATACTAGGGCCAAGATAAGCATAAAAAATTCAGAATCACTATATGCAGAACGTATTGTAGGCCTCACACCAATCATATGGGCTTAGATTGATCCTTCAAACCTTAAAAACCACAAAAACAGATATTTAAAAAGGAACAACTGCTAATAATCAAAAAGTTGTAATATAGCAAGAAGGCGCCAATTCAATTCACCACTTCATATAATTAATTAACAGACAAACATGTCAGATAGGAGACCTACAGAGACGCAAGAAATATGATCTAGCACTGTGAGGGTAAGCAAAAGTGAATATGCACAATACCAAAAGAAAACAAACAAACAAACAACAATCTTACTCAGACAGCTACCATCTGAAGTCCAACTGGACCATCTCATCTTGTTTGCATATATATTCCCACATTAACATCCCTAACTGCATTTCTGCATCACTGTAATAGTGAAGTGTTCACCCTTCATATTCCAAAAACATTTCATTAACCCCCCCACCCCCCAAAAGAACGCACCAACATAAAATGAAAACCCACCACATGCTGCCTCGGTATTTAAGAGTGTAGGGCCCGCTCTCCAATGCTCTAGCGAAATGGCTATGAACCTTGTGCCTCACCCTGCCACTTTGATCCAAAAGGGTCAGCTCAAAGAGCGCCCTTACGTCCGTGCCTTCACTAGCTAAAGCAATGAAAAGCGAAACATATGTAGCATTATCCTCCACGCTCTTCCCATCAGGATAAAAATAAATCGCCCACGTATAGCCGCCAACCATGAACGTATCAGATGCAATATACTTCCCGATTCCCATTCCCTTCGACAGCGAATAGCCTGTTATCTTAAACTCGTGAGAACCATTGACGGTCTCTGTTACTGACGTCGAGGTTGTCACGGCCGGCGAAGATGGAGACGCGGAGGAAGAAGAGGCCCTCACCGTCTCCTGGTAAACCCTACCCATTCCGACCATCCACGGTAGTTCTTATTGAATATCTACAAAAAAATAATGATTCTATGCTTCAATTGGGAAATAGATTTGCGTAAACAAAATGTGTAATCTGAGGAAATTGAGGTCAGACCTGGTGAAATCGGAAAATAATTGGACAGGCGGAAGACCACGGGAAATCGGCGGTGAGTAAACCTCCGTTTTCCGGTGAAATATGAAAATCAACGAGATTAGCTTCTCGACATCCTAGGGTTTCGACCAGGTGAATTGAGGTCTTTGATCGAGCCGAAGGTGAGGAAATCGCGCGTTTTTCCGTTGGAAAGGAAAATCGACGAGATGGGCTCCTCTATTTCTAGGGTTCCGGCGACGGTCGGAGCTTTTAGAGAGAGAGAATACGTTTGCAGAGAAGGGAAAAAAACGTGATCTCTATTTATAACTGTAAAGTCGCAAAAATAAATTGCTACGAGTTATGTTACCCTGTAAACAAGGTCGTGGACCGAGGTATGTTACCCTATAAATAAATGTAATCGTTGATAATTTAATAAGAACTAATACAGAGCCCGTGCGATGCACAAGGTGCACGGCTATTTATCCAGGTTTATAATTATATACATGAATAAAGAAAAATATACGGGATATATATTGTACGTGACCCGTGCGAAGCACGGGATATATTTATTTGGAGAATATCATATTATAAGATTCAATATTCAATAAAAGTTTATAATACGCAAGAAAATTGTACAATGTTCAATAAAAGTTTTATAATATTCAAGTGGAGTCTTAAAGTCTCTTGTACAATAAGACTACTAACAAAATAATATTTTAATCAATGAGTTTCTTTCCTTGTAGTCAAATTGTGAATGTGATTTGAGGAGTACAACAAATCGATATATAGCTGACTTGCTTTTTTCATTGTAGTTTTTTTTTTTTCTTTTTTTAACAAATTTAAAGATATTCTAAAATATAGCAAAAATTAATTTTTTTATTACAATTAGGAATTTTACTAAATAAAGACTCTCAATCTATGGTGTTAATCAACGTTTAAGTCTAAAAAATTAGCAATTTTTACTTCTTTTAATCAACGTTTAAGTCTAAAAAACAATAGAGTTATTATAAGTTTTTTTCTACATCTTTTAAAACATTAAATATGAGCATGTTATGGCTAGCTTGTAAAATAATTAATATATTATCTCACTAAAATATTTATACTAATAAAAATTTAATTTTAGCATAAAAATTTATCCCTTGATATCAGAGAAAGTAACAGTTTTACTTATTGTTGTTCACCATATAATATTTAATTATTATTTTATTATATAATAAAAAAGAGATATTGTTAAATAGTGTAGTAGAATTGTTATAAAATTATATGATTTTTTTATTTTTTTTACAATATGGATTTAATATTTTTTTATGATTTGATAATATAAACAAATCTATAATTAACTTTGACAAATAAAACAAATAAATATTTTAGTAAGTATTTAATGTATATACTAAATAGGAATATATTTTGGTATAATCAAATACCAAATATAATCAAATAAGTCAAAGTGTACATTTTTATTTGGTATTTGATTTTTTTATTATTAAAATCTTTTTATTATACTTACCTTTTTAAAATAAAACAAATAATAAATCAATTAAATAAATAAAATATTATAATACCAAAATAGTAATGACATTTAATGCAGTTGACTTTTCTGAATAGTAAATATAGTAAATAGAATCTCATTTTATATAAGTATAGATATGATATTATATTATATTGCTCAAAATAGTAATGCATTTATTGCATTGACTTTTCAACTTACTAAATTTCGTAAATGGTACCCCTTATTATATAAGTATAGATAATTAATAGTTTATCTCTTTTATGAAATGGACTGGTAATTGGTTTCTCTCTTTTAGCCACTTTATCAATCTATCATATTATGATTCAAAAACTATAAATAAAATTATTACCTTACATTTTCTTAAGGAAATTTAAATGTTTTTTATTATGTATTTTCAAAACAAAATACACAAAATAATGTAACAATTTTTTTTTTAACTATATTAAAGCGTATAATATTATGTATAAATAATTACTACTTATATATAATTTATCTAACAAAATGATGTTAATTATAATGTATTATGAAACTATTTATTAATCTTGCATAATAAATATTTATTACTTTTAATACACTGTTGTTATGTGATTTTGTGCATATGCACGAATGTAAATAAATGAGTTGTATGTATTCGTATAATGTTAAACTTATAAATTATATAATTATATTATATTTTAAAAACTTGAAACATTAGTAAATAAACAGTACAAAATTTTAACAACTTATGAATCACTATATTGATTGGATGAAATGTAATGAATAATGATTTTGAATGACAATGGTCAATTAATTAGCTATAAGAATATTAAATTCACTATTATAACAATTGTTTATGCAATTTTAAGAGTTTGACTACATCATTAAAACTAATTAATTTGAAAAGTAATCGCTTAATGAAATGAGAAAAAAAAAAATGGATAGTATCGATTCTAGAATGGATAAATTTAGGTTAAAAACTTTTACAATGCAGATTTTTATGTTATGTAACTTTCATATACCATTTAGTGTAAAATATAGTTACCTAAGTTCAAGAATAACTATTATATGATATAATAATTAAAAATTATATTATTACTCAAATAGCATGAAATGCAATTGCTTATTGTCATAACTAACGGTAAAAAATGGTTTATTTATTTATTTTGCATTAAATTACTTGTATCATTTTATATATAGAGAGAGATAGGGATAGATATCACATTTACTTTTTACAACACTAATATCATGACTAATGCAATAGAAATTAAAATAGTGTATATTTGCAGATTTCTGGAATCACAAGTGTGCTTATTACAATTTTTAAATTTATTCATTTAAATAAAAAATTACGAAAAGTTACCATTTTTTTTTTTATAAAAGATATGCTGAAATTATGAAAATGAAGTTGGATAAATTGCTTTATTTTTTGATAATTACTTTTTTTATATATAAATTTATATATTTAATAGTCTATTATTGTTATAAATTGGAATACCTCAATCCACAATAAGCACAATGAGAACTATAAAGATTGCAAAGAATGATATAAAAAGTTGTATCTCAATGGTTATCAATCCTTATAGATAATATAAGATAAAATCTAAACATAATTAAACATAGCTAACGAGCTTATGGCCTACTTGAGACATTATTAGTAATATCCAAGGGTACTTATTAAGAAATTTAAAAATAAATAATAAAAAAAAAAAATAACACTGTCATTTACACGACATACCATCTTATACTATATATATATTTTTTAATTTTTATAAGAAAACTACTTTGTAGTTACGTTAGTTTAAAGAATTATACTTTTTCATATTAATATGTAAAGTTAATTTAATTTTAATTATAAAGATAAAATATAATTATTTATTTATTTTGCATGTATAATATCGATGTCAAAGCGAAACTCATCAAGACATGAATAATTTGATATATAATACATAACATACTGTTAATACATAAAAAAAATATGATTTATTGAAATTTTTTATAATTTAAGTTAGTAAATTTAATATAATTTTAAAAGAAATATGAGAAAAAAAAATTGAGAAAAAAAAAGTTATACCTTATAAACCACGTCTATTACAAGAAATTATATTAAAACATAATTAATGCTCTTAAAAATGACTATAAATATTTTATTACCTTTTAAATATATGTATAATTTGCATTAGTAAATTTGTTACAATTTTAAAATAAAAATGAGAAAAAAATAAAGATTGAAAAAAAATATACCTTATAGATCACATCTACAATATAAAATAAAATTAAAACATAATTAATGCTCTTTAAAAAGACTATAAATATCTAGTATATTTATGGATATTTCAAACTTAGTTACTTTTGAATTAAAAATAAATTAAAATTCATCTAAAATAAATAGAAAAGCTTAAAATTTTGTCAAATAAGATCATGAAGCACTTGAGACTGGTCTGCCATTCAAGTTAAGCATACTCGAGAATTATCTATATGGAAGGGGATAACAATTATTTATTAGATTATTTTAAGGTAGGTGTGCAATTCAATTTAAAATTTTTCTATTTGAAAGAATAAAAAAAAAATGCTTGACAATCAATCAATCATAAGAATCCAAGAGCTGAATTAGCCCAATAAAACCTTTCCCTATCAGTAACAGGATTCCCAACCTGGAAATCTCTAGACAACCACACGATCCCCATTGTTATCTCACATCACATCATAAAATTACAAAATTACAAATTGTTTATTCACTATCTTTATTTTCCGTTTTCAACTGCAGATGAATGAGGGCCTTGGTTTTAGAATAAAAATCTTGTGAGCAATGTGAGGTTCGAAGGAGGATAAACCGATAAAGCCAAAATATGCTGTGACCCTTATAAGATGGCAAGAGCAATTTTGGTTGTCCGAATTTAGAGCGTAATAGTTAATAGCTGGGTAAAAATTGAATCTTGACCAAAAAAGATGGTGGAGCTATGCTTGATGGCTTCACATGGCTGCCCGCGTCTTGTTTCAAACAGGTTGTCTGAGGTAAGAGTTGGCTTTGTGCTTTTTTGTTTTTATTTTTATTTTTATTTATTTATTTATTTATTTATTTATTTTTTTNTATCTGGTTTTGTTCTGGTGAGATGTGAAAATTGATTTTTGGTTCATGTTAAAAATGGAGTCTTTGTGGAAAAAAAAACGAATGGATATTGTGTTGTGGATTGAGTTGATGTTTGGGTTATTGAGATAGAAACTGAAGGATCTTGAAGAATTGACTGTTGTTTGTGTATATGTTAGTTTATACAATTTTCCTTGTGTATATAGTCATTCTAATATGTTGGTTAGATAAATTATTTGATGTGCTTGTTCGTGCAGTGTAACTTTGGGTTCTTATTGCTCGAATTCAACACTGTTATTTATTAAAGACTATGCGAATATGATCGTATTTGATTCGAACGAACCATGTGATTAGTGTCCTTGCCTAGGCATTCTTGATATTTGCATTGGAAGATGAGTTTGACATTGATCTCACTCGTATATTAAGGATTTGTGCTTAAATTTTGAACAGAGATAAGAAATAATAGCTTAATGTATGACCAGAAGTTCCTTAGTTTAAAGTTCCTTTCCAATTTCTATCGGTTTCGTTTATTTATTCTCCTCTGTGTAACAGGACTTTCACCATTTTCTTCCCTATCACGGGCCAAACCAAGAACTGGTTCATCCCCTCTCATTTAACTTAAGTCTGCAGCAAAAAGAGGAGCTGAGATCTGATGGTGGGTTGCTTGGTTCTAATAATCCCTTCGTCACGATTGACTCAACCTCCAAAAGGCCCATACTCGCTGAATTTCAAGGTTTACATATCTCGAGATTTTTCTATTTTGCTAAATATAGATTAATTTATTTAAACCTTATCATGTAATAATGTGCTGCTATATAAATAGTCACGAGAACAGAACAGAAAAGCATATTTGCTATAACTTATTTACTTTGCTTGTGAGAGATAGCCTTAGACAATTGTGAGGTATAATCTAATCATATAAAAAAAAAAAAAACAGAGTTACCTTTAAAAACAAAATAAAAGTGATTTCTTTATTATGTTATTGTAACACTTCCCCTCGTCCCACCTAAGAATATGCAATTCTCACAAAAGAAACATATACAGGAGAGTAATGGTATTTGGGAAGGCGTGTTTGTATACAAATATATCCGCTAAAATGAGTTTTTTTGGTTAACCACATTTAATTTTGAAAAAAAAAAAGTGGTATGGTTAGTTGTTAGTGGGATTTTGATTTTATATCAAGATAATATTTAAAATAAAACAATTAAAATTGATTTGATGTAAAAGTAAGAGAAAGATGCTGTAAGGTGATAGTTAGTAAAAATTTTATGAGTGAATGAATAGTAAATTAAAAGTGATGTGATGTGTAAGAATAATGGTCGGTATTATTTAATTATATTGATAATATCGAGGATAGTTGAGTTGAATTAAAGTTGAGTTAGATTTTGAGTATGAATTGAGAGTAATCCTTCTTAATCTGTACTGCTTGTTCAAATATATTCATTTGGACGAGGTAAAAGTGTATAAACGATTCATTATTATTTTATTTTTTGTAGAGACAGATTCATATTCAGATTCAGCAGTCTTGAGTTCCGGGATTGCTGAACGTTATGCCAGACTCGAGAAGATCCTGAAGCTTCTAGGGTCTAAATCGACTGAAAAACAAGGCGATTTGCTCGATTTATCCGCGCTGAATGGTCTGATGGGACATAGATTACCAATCGAGGATTTATCTCGGCAGGCATTTGCTGCTTCTTGCTCCTCATTGTGCTTTAGTGATGGCCAGCTTTTGCATGATCTTATACACCCGACAAGAGAACTCTACCTCAGCCAACCTTTTTTAGGACAATTACCGTGTAATTCTACTAGCACTGAGATGAGTGACTTCATTTCAGTTATTACCGAAATTTCCTCGTTCAAGAATACAACTAAGTCTAGTAGCCAGACACTGCTGGTCCCTTTCTTTGAGAGGTATCGGCTTCTTTTTACTTTCATATTTTTTAATTTTCATTTTTCAATTTGTTCGCCGCTGATTAGTGTGTGAGTGCGCGAGTGTGTTTAGTGATATTGTACTCTGTTGTTATATGCCATTATAAAATTCTTAAACCAAATTCCCGTCGTGCATGAAAAGGATTTGAGTAGTATATAATATATTCCTCGTATGTCTTTTTAAACTCCAGTATTTAAATGCCAATAATAATATGCAAAACTGTAACTCCCGATTTTGAAACTTTTGTTTTCATTTTCATCTTGCAGGAGGAGAAGAGCACGCGTCAATACGGATGCATCAAAGGTCTCTGCAACCGAGACAGCTGTCCTAAAGAGGTGAAAAGTCGACTTTCAGCTTCAAACTGATTCGATTTCAATTTTTTTTTTTTTTCGCCAGCATTTAATTCTTATTGACTAGAAAGGTTTGTTCGTTTACTCAGCTACTGCTCAATGAAATAACTACACATTTACCATATTCCAGTTCCAACCAAATTATCGTACTCGCATTTCGATTTTGGAAGAAAAAATCATCACTGAATACGAGAATATTTTAGATTACACAATCTTTGTTCCTTTTTCTTACATATTCCCCCCATTATTTTGGTCTCCAGCCCTTGTAAATTGAAGGAAAAGGCATCACAGAAGAAGAAAACCAACAGCAAGTCCTTAAAAGAAAGAGAGGCCTACAACAATAGCTATCTTCATGCATGCGAAAGCCTTTTATCCGTTATAGTCGATCGACAGCAAAAAGGAAAGAACACTTTGCTCTCGTTGAAAAAATCGGGCTCTCAGTTGACTCATTTTTTGACCAAATTATCGGCCAGTATAGCCGGAGCAGGAATTGCTGTCGTTTTATCTGTTTTATGCAGGGTTGCTTGTACTCGGGTGCCCTTTTGTTCGTCAAAGGTTTTGAGTACCGGGCTGGGCCTAGGGCTCGTTTGGCTCTCGTGGGCCGTGAATAAACTGAGGATTACGGTTATCACGATTAGCAAGAGTTCTGGTAAGGTTGGTGAGAAAGAAGATGAGATGATGGGTGATTTGGATAGAGATTTGAAGGATATTTACTTCAGAGTAGCTGCATTGATGGCCGTTGTGGTGTTGAAGGTGGCTTGAAAAAAATCGAGATGAAAACGTATAGTATTTTGATGTGAATTGTAATTTGTAAGTAAATTCAGTGAGTTATGTGTTTGTCCTTGAATTATTGTTTTTGTGCCTACTTTGAGTCAATTTTGTCAAACATTAAACCAATTTTGTTTCAAAGATAACTGTTTTTGGGATCTTGTTGTTTATGCATAATTTCTCTTTTATCTTTTTTGTTCTTTTTTCTTTCATTATTTCTTTCTTTTGTACCTGTAAATGAATACAGTTACAAAAATGCTGGGAAATGAAATCAAGAAAGGAAAAATTGGGGGCAAAAACCACAATTATATGATACTATGATTAATACATCAAGGCAGAGCAATTAGTAGAGACAAACAAAACAATGCAGTACAGAATTAATTATTGAAGATTGAACATTGAAAAAGCTTTTTCCAACAATACAGGAGAGACCTTTATAGACAAGTGAGTTCACTGTGCCCACATTATAATCCCAGCAGCAACATTCGAACCAAACACAACTAGTTAACCTGTGTCTGAACAAAAACAATCTTGTCAAACTCACCCAAACATTTAATTTATTCAACTAATGACTTTCGAAACTACTCCAGCACCCACAGTTCGGCCACCCTCCCTCAGGGCAAATCTTTGTCCTGTCGAAACAGAAGTAACATCGTGTGATAAATAAGGAATATTTAATGATATTTGTACAAAATAGCAGACATAAGGAATAATAAGCTATATAGTGCACCTGCTTCAAGAGGAACAGGATAGATAAGATCGAAAACAGCTGTCACATTGTCTCCGGGCATAACCATCTTCACGTTTTCAGGCAACTCGACTTTACCGGTGACATCAGCGGTCCTCATGTAGAATTGAGGTCTATAATTCGAGAAGAAGGCCGTGTGGCGCCCACCTTCCTCTTTCGTGAGGACATATATCTCTGCCTCGAATTTCGTGTATGTTTTAAGAGTACCAGTTTTTGCAATTACCTGTATATGGAAATGATGCATGCAAAGTTAAAAAATAAACAAAAAATATTTATCTTGAATTTTAATTCTTCTCCTTTCAAATATTTTAACAAATAACATATTTTAACAAATTCTGATCAGCTTATAGACTAACCATTCCTCGTTGGATCTCATCACGTTTCAAGCCTCGTAGAAGCAAACCAACATTGTCGCCAGCCTGGCAAACGTTCAAGTTTTTTAAACATGATAATTTATAGATATTACACCAAGGGTGATGAGAAACAAAAGCCCTTACCTGGCCAAAATCCAAAGTTTTCTTGAACATTTCAACGCCAGTTACTGTGGTTTTAAGTTTGGTCTGTAGCAAAAGGAGGCGTACATAATATAAGGAATCCGATGTGGTATGGTAACATAAAANAAAACTCATAAACACAGCATTACTATTTGAAGCATAAAAGTGATGGATTGATATTTAGCAGATAATATGTTCATTCAGATGTTAGATTCCCATCATAATGAGATAAAAAATACTTGAACTCAATAAACAAAAACTTGAATCTATCACAAGGTCCGAATAAATATGACCACTGACATGTACTCACCTGTGAAAGTCCCAAAATTTCAACTTCTTCCCCAGGTTTGATTATACCCTGCTCCACACGGCCCGTTGCAACTGTACCACGCCCCTTCAAAATGGCAAGATTACAAATATCAGACTCGATTGCAAAGCAGTATTGGTACGAATATTATACTAAACATAAGTTACATATCTCAGCACCATTCGACAGAATAAATATTCTGTGACCACGATGTTCAAGAAATCAATCTATATAAATCATCCAAACATAAGTAAACAATCGCCTTACCAATCTCAAAGGAAGAAAAAAAGGATTTGTAACATAAATGAGTTAACAAGGAAAGACAACAAAATTTGCAAGAGGGCATCATAAAAACACAAGTCTAATTACCTGAATGGTGAACACATCTTCAACTGGCATCAAAAAGGGTTTATCAAGTTGACGTACGGGATCTGGAATGTATGAATCTACAGCTTCCATTAGCTTTAAGATAGCCTTCTTTCCAATATCTTCGTTTGAACCCTCCAAAGCAGATAAAGCCGATCCTCGGACAATAGGAATGTCATCACCAGGGAACTTATAAAAGCTAAGCAATTCTGCATGTACAATGAAGTGGTGTAAAATGGGCCCATCAGAAAGAAATACCAAGCAGTCCAAACCATTTTCAAAATTTAGCCTACCTCGCAGCTCCATTTCCACAAGTTCAAGAAGCTCCGGGTCATCAACAGCATCAACTTTGTTGAGGAAACACACCAATGAGGGCACACCCACCTGCACCAAAAGTGAAGGGTTTACAATGCAAAACCAAAATAGACGAGAAAATCTACTAGCTTTTGCCACAGGCTTCGGTAAGTCAAAATCCAAGTCAAATTGAGAACCTGGCGAGCAAGTAAAATGTGTTCCTTAGTTTGCGGCATTGGTCCGTCTGGGGCAGATACAACAAGAATACCACCATCCATCTGAGCAGCTCCAGTAATCATGTTCTGCATCAAAGATTAAAATGGAACAAAAACTAAATTATTTGAGTATCCACATCGAACATGATCGGCATGTTCGGTATATAACATTTCGTGAAGCTAAGTCTTACAAACAGCAGACTGCTCAATCTGAAAAAATGTGACATGGGCAATATGTCAAATAAGATTCATGTTCAGATTTCTTTTCTTTCCTTATAAGCATGAATACGGGTATGACAGTGAACTGTGTGTAGAGAGCCAAGACAGAGAGCCAAGACCAAATAAAGGACATATAACAAAAAAGAAAAAGAAATTGTCTGAATTCCGTAGAAAATGTTGTCCCCGACTGAAGTTTTCTGGTCCAGTAACTTATTGAAGCTTAACCAACAACCGAGTACCTTCCTTGGAAAAATCTAACTAATCAGCTTGAAGACCATAAGATGAACGAGATGAAACGGTAATGGAAGACGCCATGATGGGAGAAGCGAATGGTGATGGGGAGGGTCTGGGAAAGACTCCAAAAGAAGGAATGCAGGAGTTCAGATAATGGTGAAAAAGATATGGCCCTAAAAACAAGATTATATTGATTGGCCGGAAAAGTGGCTTTCATGTGTATTGGAACTTTCCATTCTTCCCGTTAGCCTTTCGGTGAAGAAGAATATGGTGAGGAGTAGAAGTCGAGAAAAACAATGGTTCAGTGTCAGCTGTATTTGTTACCTCCGAGTTGGCTCAAGGGCTTACTTCGATCGCAGATGAATCTGATGGAAGGGTATAGGTCAATGAAAAAATTGCATTAAGTTAAGTCGTGATGAAGTTATACACCCCTTCCAATCTGTCCATTACGCAAACAAAATTTTCGGCTTCGAATCGCGGCACCAAAACAATTCTCATTGCCTCTATTTTCTTTTCTATGAATATCATAATTTCTCATAAAGAACATATCTCAAAATATCAAAACTAACAATATTAAATAAATAGAAAAAGGAAATACTACAAAATGCAGACAAAAATAAATCTCTTCCAGTCTCACTTTAACATAATCAGCATGCCCAGGGCAATCTACATGAGCGTAATGCCTCTTTGCAGTTTCATATTCTACATGTGCCTGTAAAATCAAAATGCACAATGGGATTATGAACTAAAGATAATACTCAAGGCAGAAGTACATTTGTCAGGTCGTAGAGCAGGAATAGAAAAGAAACAGTAAAAACCCCTAACCGTGGCAATTGTAATCCCTCTCTTTTTCTCCTCAGGTGCTTTATCAATTTCATCAAAGGCAACAGCTTTTGCCTTACCTTCTTCTGCTAAGACCTTCATACAAACATAGAAATAAATTTCAATGGCTAAACAAGTAAAAGAAACAGATATGAGGTAATATAGGTACAAATTAAGAAAATAACAAGATACCGAATAAACATTGTAAGAAAGAACAACAGTATATTACAATTACTGATAGACACTAGTTAACGCTACCTTAGTGATTGCTGCAGTTAGGGTGGTCTTCCCATGATCAACATGCCCAATTGTTCCCACATTCACGTGGGGTTTTCTGCAATCAAGCAAGACGTCACTAAACTAATTCAAAGAACCTAATGCCAGATGATATTTTTCCATATCTTATCCAAGATCAAACCTTTATCTTCTTTCAAATCCACGGGAAAAAACAAACAGTACGAAAAATGCAAACAGAATAAACGTTTTCTTCGACATAATCATAACAACCAAATATCATTTACGTATCACAAGAGCAAATGACAGCAGCCAATTAAAAGAGACAGCAAAATCCCCAGATTAGAGCATGCGCCTTACGTTCGAGTGAAGGTGGCCATGGATCTCCACCAAGGGTTCGGAGCCTGAACCGAAGGGATCGGCGATTCAAGGGCGGACGGCGGCGCGGAGACGGCGGATCCACGGCAGCACGGCGAGCAAATTCTCGGAGACAGTGTCAAGACGCGCTTCGCGTTGGGATTTCTGACAGCCACGGACGCCATTTTTAGCAGTAGCAGAGTGAAGATAGTGATAGTCACGAGTGAACGGAGCTGGGGAGAAGAAGGCGATCTGAGGATCAATGGTTTATGAAACCTATCAGGGTTTTAGAATATTTTTAGGGCTTTTCGAGGCTTTAATTTACAACCCGTTTTCATGTGTAGAGACGTTGATTCATGGGCTTGGCCCTGTACTCCTATGGGCTTAAAATCAAATTTATGGGTCATATTGTGCCCAATTATCCTTTTTTTTTTTCACAGATAAATTGGTGTTGTTATTTTATATAACTTTTTATTTGTGCATTTATTATTATTTTTAATTATAGATACATTATTACTGTTTATTTTGTAATTTATATTTTTTCATTGAAATCTAAATTAACAACTATATACACTTTTATTATAAAAATGTCTTCTTTAAAAAATAATATAATTGGAAGTATTTTTATTTCACAGATATTTATATATTTTTACTCAATATATGATGAAAGTTGACATTTCACCTTCACGGTTCAATTCTCTTTCTCCTTGTTCGAGTCTAAGGTGTGATTGAATATATATTTGAGTTGATTTTTTTTTTTGTTAACTATAGTTATTTTGAAAAAATGGTTGAATTGAGTTTAAGTGTAATTTAAATTTGTATTTAAATAATATTTAAAATAAAATGATTAAAGTTGATTTGTTTTAATTTAGGAGAAAAGTTACTAGAAGTGATAGGTACGTGAGTGAATGAATAATAAATTATATGATTTATCACATACACAGTGTCTGAATAGTAAATTATGTAATATTTAAGGATGATAGATTGATATTATTTAATTATATTGATAATATTAAAGATAATAGAATTGAATTAAAAAAATAAGGGTTGGTTTGTATATAAATATACTAGTACAGAGCCCGTGCGATGCACGGGATGTACATTTTTAAGGCTATTTATCTAGGCTTATAATTATATACATGAATAAAGAAAGATGTACGGAATATATATAGTACGTGACCCGTGCAAAGCACGAGATATATTTATTTAGAGAATATTATATTATAAGATGCAATATTCAATAAAAGTTTATAATACGCAAGAAAATTGTACAATGTTCAATAAAAGTTTTATAATATTCAAGTGGAGTCTTAAAGTCTCTTGTACATTAAGACTACTGACAAAATAATATTTTAATCAATGAGTTTCCTTTCCTTGTAGCCAAATTGTGAATGTGATTTGAGGAGTACAACAAATCGATATATAGCTGACTTGCTTTTTTCATTGTGGTTTTTTTTTTTTTTTTTTTTATAATGAATTTAAAGATATTCTAAAATATAGCAAAAATTAATTTTTTTATTACAATTAGGAATTTTACTAAATATAAACTCTCAATCTATGGTGTTAATCAACGTTTAAGTCTAAAAAATTAGGAATTTTTACCTCTTTTAATCAACGTTTAAGTCTAAAAAACAATAGAGTTATTATAAGTTTTTTTTCTACATCTTTTAAAACATTAAATATGAGCATGTTAGGGCTAGCTTGTAAAATAATTAATATATTATCTCACTAAAACATTTATACTAATAAAAATTTAATTTTAGCATATAAATTTATCCCTTGATATAAGAGAAAGTAACAGTTTTACTTATTGTTGTTCACCATATAATATTTAATTATTATTTTATTATATAATAAAAAAATATTGTTAAATAGTGTAGTAGAATTGTTATAAAATTATATTATTTTTTTTTTTTTACAATATGGATTTAATATTTTTTTATGATTTGATAATATAAACAAATCTATACTTAACTTTGACAAATAAAACAAACAAATACTTTAGTAAGTATTTAATGTATATACTAAATAGGAATATATTTGGTATAATCAAATACCAAATATAATCAAATAAGTCAAAGTGTACATTTTTATTTGGTATTTGATTTTTTTATTATTAAAATCTTTTTATTATACTTACCTTTTTAAAATAAAACAAATAAATAAAACAATTAAATAAATAAAATATTATAATACAAAAATAGTAATGACATTTAATGCAGTTGACTTTTCTGGATAGTAAATATAGTAAATAGAATCTCTTTTTCTATAAGTATAGATTGTATAATACGGAAATAGTAATGCAATAAATGTTGTTGACTTTTTTTTATATTAAATCTGGTAAATGATATACCTTTTAATATAAGTATAGATATATTTTAATTAACTGTCACGTGGTGAGTATAATAATAATAATAATAATATATGATTTATTTAATCAACTGATTACGTGCATACTATAATAATAATAGTAATAAACAATGGATAGCACACGTTTTGAAAAGTTAAAGGCAATCAATCAATTCACATGAATTATAGGTGAGATTAATGAAAGGTGAGATAATATCCGTTCATTTATATAATCTAGTGTGAAAAGGACATAAAAAAAAAGTGTGAAAAGGACATAAAAGTTACTAATTTTAGTAAACATTTAATGCAGACAAGATGTTGACTAAGAATTGACCTACTAATTTTAAAAAAGGTTAATTCTTATTATATAAGTACAGATTAACTCAAAATGAGTTTTTTTGGTTAACTAGAGTTAATTTTGAGAAAGGTAATATAATTAATTGTTAGTGAGATTTTTATTTTATATCATAAAAATATTTAAAATAAAATAATTAAAGTTGATTTGATGTAAAAGTAGAAGAAAAATGATTTGAAATGATAGTTAATTAAAATTATGTGAATTTTGATAAATATTAAATAAAAGTTGACGTGATATGTAAGAATAATTTATTGAGATTATTTAATTATGTTGAGAATAGCATTGTTGAGTTAAAATTGAGAATGGAGTATAGATTGCGTTTTTCTTTTCTTGTTATACAAATGGAGTTAAAAATGATTGGGTACCTTTGAAAATCTCTATTATTCATTCTAATTCTCCGTGATGCAATGGAAATTGCTCTATTGGGAGCTTAAATCCTGAAGGGGTCGAAATTTGGCGCATGAATTTCGTGCTTTAAGTGAGTCTATTGAAGATGATTCCAGTTGGTGGAATCACCTGCTGCCTGGGCGCGGCCGCGCTTTATCTTTTCGGCAGGAGCAGCGGAAGGTCGATTTAATCTTGTCGCCCATTTTCTTACCTTCATTTTTTTTTTCCTGTGTGAATTTGATTGAATGTAACTTTTAATAGAGATTTTCTTTTATTATTATTATTAGGGATGCTGAAGCTTTGAAGTCCGTAACTCGAGTGAATCAGTTGAAAGACTTGCGTAAGTGGAATTTTGCTAATTTCTGCAAATTTCTAACTTTTGTTGCACAATTGAAGGCCTCAGCTGTGTATTTTGGCTAGATTGTTATTTGATAATTTTTTTAGTTGCATTATTCTGATTTTATATATATCATTGTCCCTTGGTGAGTTGAGCCCTATCTCACTCAACTGATAATTCCTTCTTAAGGAGAACATATAAAGGTTGTGCCACATTTTGTTCCAGATTTTCATGATCAGTTTGATCTATCGTAGTAAAATGCTGACTGTTGGGAGACATTATGAAACATTTAAGTAAACTACCTGAAGAAATTATTTTCTTTGTCTTGGGTTTGAGCGAAAAGTAAGAAGGGAATCTTGTAGTAACCGCGCTTATTGGTATACATTTTCTAATTGTTCATCTTTTGTGAATCTCCCTATACATCTTGGTTTGCGAGTGAAGATTTTTATCAACTTTTAGCAGGACCGTTATTTATGCCGATGTTACTTTTCAGTTTCTTTACTTTCGATTTGTGATTTAATTTTGTATTTATCGGGCTGTGAGAAATTCTAAGTAGGTAGCATTCGTTATTTCTGCAACTTTCATGGCTGATTGACGAAGCTTTCTTCTGGCCCATCACTTTGCTGAATTTCAGCATTACAGAAAATTTGTCTTAGCACGTCCCAATTAACTTTTGTTGCATCCTGCTTTTGTTCAGCTCAATTATTGGATAATGCAAGCAAAATGTTGCCTTTGGTTGTCGTATCTGGGAAGGTCGGCTCAGATACTCCAATTAGCTGCGAACACAGTAGTCTACAGGGCGTAATTATGGAGCAAACGGTAATAAGGCCCAAATTTAGTCCGAAATTACTGTATTTTATATTATTCTCTAAGAACTCCATTGTGTTCTAAAAAAAACATTTTTTTTTTTTTTTTTAATCTNTTTTTTTTTTTTTTTTTAAATCTTCCCAGTCTGAACAGTACTTTCTGAAACACAATGATGCTGGATCTTGGATACAAGATTCAGCTTTGATGCTCTCTAAGTGCAAAGAAGTCCCCTGGTACCTTGTAAGATTCAGCTTTGATGCTACATAATTTTTGGTCACACATGCATATTTTGTGACAATCAAAATGTATGTGTTTATTCGAGTTTTTTGGGGTTTAACAAGTGTTGTGCGCCATTCTTTACAGGATGATGGTACTGCTCGTGTGCATGTTGTTGGAGCACGTGATGCCACAGGTTTGGTTTTAACAGTAGGAAGTGAAGTATTTGAAGAGTCTGGACGATCTTTAGTGCGTGGGACCTTAGATTACCTCCAAGGACTAAAGGTTTTGGCTGTTATATTCATATTATTCTTTTGTTCTCCGTTGTTTTTATTTGCACTATTGAATCTGTTGATCGATTTTTCAAATAACGATCTCTTATTGAGTGTAGATGCTTGGAGTCAAGACGACTGAACGGGTTCTTCCAACTAGAGCATCTTTGACGGTTGTTGGTGAGGTATAATGCTTTTGAAGGCACAATTTTTTGCATTCAATTGTTTATTAAATCTTTTCTTTGTATTTTCTTTTTTCTCCGGGTGGCAAAACCAGGGTTTTGGATTGAATTATAAGCCGAATTACTGAATAAAGGTACTTGAAACAATGGAGAAGTTGACAAGTTGTTTGTTGCAGCCTATGCAGTTGTATATAATATTTTATGTTAATTATAATAGAATTTTGTGAATTTTCTTTTGTCCCAAAAAAAAAAAACAAGTAACACTCATCAATTTGATAATTCTGCCATCAACTTTTCTTCCCTTTTCCTTGAGGGATTGGAGTAGATTTACTGTAATAACGGGTTTTGTGTCGGTTTTTTCATTGTTTTTTTCGGACATTCTTTAGCTTTCTCGTGAGAAATCCATCTTAATGTTTGAGAATATCTTTTCTTTCTTGGGTTTGTATTTGTTTGAAAGTTGATTTTGTGTTTTTCTGGAGTCAGGCTGTTAAAGATGGCACCGGTCCCATCCGAATCCAACGACCGCATAAAGGACCGTTTTATGTCACCGACAAAACTATCGATCAGCTGATTGCAAATCTTGGGAAATGGTCAAGGTTTGTTAAACTCCTACTACTGTGTGATCCATAACTATGCAGAATGTTGGTTTAACTGCTAGTATGCTCAGCTTAAAAAAAAAAGAATATAATTCACATTTATTACATATTTACTCCATTAGATTGTACAAGTATGCCTCGGTGGGGCTTACGGTTCTTGGATTTTATCTGCTGGCCAAGCATGCCATTAAGTATATTATGGAGAGAAGGCGCTACCGGGAAATTAGAAAGAGGTAACCTCTTTTTATGGAAACTTTATTTATTTATTTATATTTATTAATATTCTAAATATCGGTGTTTGTTAGGGTTCTTGCTGCTGCAGCTGCTAAAAGAGCTGGGCAAGATGAAGGAGGTAATCGGATTCGCTTAAAGGATTCTTACATATTGTACTTTAACCTTTGACGTGTTCATTGTTTTAGGCCATGTTTGGTAAACCTAGCTGATAAGCCAGTTTATAGCTAGCTTTTAAGTGAATTTTGAGCTTATAGCTGATAGCTTACATGATAAAAGTGTTTGGTATATAGCTGATAAACTAGCTGAAATAAAAATTTCAATGGGCTTATTCGAAAAGCTACCCAAGGAAGCTTATGAGATAAGCTCGAGCTTTTTTTAAAAAAAATTATCGTACCAAACCAAATTTATTTGAATACAGGAAGCTTATAAGCTAATCAAATAAGTTATAAGCTAGTTTGTGTGCTTACCAAACACAACCTTAGAAATCAAATACATCTTATTGTTTTCTCATGATTTGCAGATCCAGACAATGAAGCTGAGAGTGGACTAGATAGTACCAGTAAAGATCGGAAGATGCCCGATTTGTGTGTGATATGCTTGGAGCAAGAATACAATTCTGTTTTTGTCCCGTAAGTGCCTCGTTTTAATTTTTGTGGATCATATTGCTTTATTTTTAGGCAAAACTGTAAAATGAGGTGCGGGAATTTAAATTGATTAGTGGAAAATATATCGGTTGATCGATCTATTCTCAGGTGTGGTCATATGTGCTGCTGTATGGTTTGCTCGTCTCACTTGACCGACTGCCCATTATGCCGAACAAGGATTTGTCAAGTCGTGAGGACCTACAGGCACTGAATTCTCCCGAGCTAAAGTGTGGGTCCCGTATAAAACTGAGATACCATGTTTTTCCGGGCCTCGATTCACACACTGCCTTTGTGTAATATGTGAAAAATGCCGAGCAGTGGAACAGATGCTCGTTTCGTATGAGCATTTCTGGTTCGGAGTTTTTTTTTTTATAATTTATTTATGTTGATGATTTACGGCCTGGATTTATTTGTCGACACTACGCGAACTTCCTCTTCTGATTGTAAATAGCTGTTCGTAAAGAAGTTTAAACATCTTTGTGAACTGTAAAATCCTTCGATGCATGTGTTTTGTAGTTTAATGTTCGGCGTTTAATTATTAGGCGAATCAACAAGTGATTAGGATTAGGACTATTCGATTACTTGAAATCCGAGCATGGATCGAGCGTCGTTTAATTATTCTAGTCGCGACTCGCAAGCTCTTGAACTTCGGATTCTCGAAAATCTGATTTTTGAGTTTTCGTTTTCCGATGCAATTGTGTTTAAGGATTAATTGTGTCTACATGTTATGTATTGCCGACAAGAAATAATATATAGAACTGGGAACTTTGAACAAGTGNGGAATCTGATACTATTGGGTGGATAATTTCCATTAAAAAAAAAAAATCTTCTACTGAATTGGCTTTCTCCTAATTCTTGGCTCCAACTGTAGACTAAATTAAGGCACACAAATGTTGAAGCAATTTGATGTGGAATGTGAAAAACGAGTTTCGCCGGCATAAATTGAAACAGATTGTATTTGGGCTCGATATGACTAACATAATATATTTCAGTAAGTGGAACAATGATTTTAATGGAACTCACCATGTTTTTATTATTTTTAGTATTTTCTATTATGTTTCTTATTTGTTTTTTATTTTATTTATGATTTGAGGCCTTTAAATACTCTTCTAATGCTTTGTTTTGATTGTATCGAGATTTATATATTGTTTTCAATAATACATTTTTCTTTCGTTAAAAGTACGTTTGTTTTCCACGTTTGTCATTCCGTGTTACATTGACTCAATTATATAAAAATTTGGGTAAACAAGGAATTTGATTCTTAACTTAATAAGGTCATTATCCAAAGAAAAATTAACTAAGGCAATACCGAATCCTTGTCAAGCCAAACTTTCCATCTTT